CAGAGATCCAGATGCTACAGTTCTAATCTCCAGATCAATGCCGCTCGAATTTTAATGTGCATTGGAATCACCTGAGGATCTTGTTAAAATGGAGAGTCTGATTTAGAAGGTTTGGCGGGGGGCCTGAAAATCTGCATTTCAACAAGATCCCAAGTGATGCTGATACCACCGGTCTGTGGATCACATTTTTGCAGCACAATCTATAGCAGAGCTGCTCCGAGGGTGGTCTCTAGACCACCAGAATCAGTATCGCCTGGGAACTTGAGAGAAATGCAAGTTCTCGGGCCCCACCCCAGACCCACTGAATCGGAAACTCTGGGGATGGAGACCAGTCCCCCTGTGCTCGAACACGCCTCTGGTGATTCTGACGCAGACTGAAGTTTGAGAACCACTCTTGTAGAGAATCTGACCGGCCAGAGGGAAGGGAGCTGATATTCGCTTTAAGGACGAAGTAATGAATTATCGTGCAAGTAAGACAGAAACAAAGATCAGGTTTTATTCTATTTACGTTACAGTTATGAACAAGTATAACCATTATAAGAAAATTAAGACATAACTTTGAAACCTTGAAATCTGCCCGTATTCACTTTTTAAAAATAATCTTTTTTTTTTTTAATCCCCATATCATCACAAGTAGTAGAAATTCTTAGGGACATTTTCGAGACGAGCACACTCCCTGCAAAGATGGGAGAAAGGAAACGTCAGACCGTGGCCTTCCCGGCTGCCCGCGGGGCGGAGCTGGTACGGGCGCCGGAAGCTAAGGCGGCAGCGCCTGGCGCTGGGGCTTGAGAACCGGCAAAGGGATGCCGGCCGCTCTGAGGCCACGATGCTGCTGGGGCTCCTGGCCCCCAGAGGTGCTGCCCCTGGTAATGTCACTGCTCCGGTGTCACGCTCTGCCCCACAAGTGCGCTACGCCTGGGTGACAGTCCATAACTGCTCCCAACTGGCCTCCCAGGCTCAGCCTCCCCTAACCGTGCCCGGTCTGTTCTGCGAACTCCAGCCCCTGGGGACATCAGTGCCCTCCGCCCCCCCCCTCCCGTCCCTCCGAGGCCCCTACTTGACTCCCTTCAGCCCTTTCGCTGCTGTATTGCATCTTCCCTTGTGTTGTCTGGTAGCTCAGATCACACATCGCAGCCATCTGTCCATCTCTGTCCCTCACTGGGGTGCGGATCCCTGTCCCCTCCCTTGTGGCCGGTGTTCAACATACGTTGTCTCCCTGGGCAGGAGATGCCAAGGGGAATAAGACACGGCTTGTCTTCAAACCCTGGGAACCAGCCACCCGCCAGGGAACATACTGGGTGCTGTGAGAGAGATTCACACAAAGCCTCGCGCCACAGCCCGTGCACACTCGGCTCTCCTGGTCCGCCTGGCACTTTTTAGCTCTTATTTACACAGGCGTCCGTTATTCTTTAAAAAGTGTGGGTTGTTTCCCTAAGAAGGGGCCAGGTAGAGTCTGTCTTTGTCACTTCCTTATAGCTTACGCAGAGCAGGGGACACGCTGAGCGCCAGGCCACAGAGCAAGCCCTTGCTCACCGACAGACGCTCCTGCGCTCCCAGGACTGGATGCTGACTTCTGAAGGCGGCTCAGAGCCGATCCCATCTATGTAATATTTAAGAATTCAGAATCTTCAGCAAGTTGGCTCACGGGGTGCCTGGGTGGCTCAGTCGGTTGGGCAACTGCCTTCCGCTCCATGATCTCAGGGTCCTGGGATCGAGCCCCGCATCTGCTCCTGCTCAACAGGGAGGCTGCTTCTCCCTCACCCTCTCCCACTCCCTCTGCTTTTGCTCTCTCTCTCTTTCTCTGTGTCAAATAAATAAATTAAAAAAAAAAAGTTGGCTCACAATGAAAAACTGCCTCGCATCTATGTTTAGTCTTTTCAAAGCTCCCCTTAAAACACTCAACCTGCACAACCATGAACACTTACGTCCCCAACGCTTCCACATGCTGGTGAGCGTTACTGTTACATGAGTAGAAATGGTCAGGAGCGGCCGTTTTCAAACATTTAACATGGTGCCCTCTCATGTCCCATTGTGCAGGGGACTCTAGGTTCCCAGGAGGTGTTGTGCAATAGCTTCTTTGAACATTTCCTCAGAAGTAGAAATGTCACGTATGGAAAAGGGAGGAATGTATGTCTCTGTGAGTAACACCACCGTGATATTCTGCACGCCCATCTGATGTAGGTGATTTTATTACCCTGTGAGCGAAATCTGGGTTAGTCTGGATGACACGATTACACATTTCAAACAAGATAGTGCCATTAGAAAGGAGATTGACTTGGACGCCATGACACGGACTTATCTTTCTAGCGTGTTCGGTCATACACTTAGCCTTCGCTTGGTAAATATTTGCCACGTGAATGAATGAAACACAAACCCTTCCCCAAGGCTGATGCCTCACCTAACAAAAGCATTTTGGCCTGCAGCCAGCAGAGAGGGTTCAAGAGAACCTTGCAGGGACGCCAGCACATGGAGGGTGTGGGGAGTGGCCCTGGCGAACAGCCTTAATGACACCACCCCTGGGGAGAGGGAGGGGGGCCCAGGACGGAAAACCACACTCTCCAATGATCCCTGACCAGCCACCCTGGGTCTTCCGAGGAACCCCCCTCTTGTTACAGAAGGACGCTCTCTGCTGGGGTAGAGAACAATTTTAGATCTGAGAACAATTTTTCAAATATTCTTGACCAAGACACACAGTAAGAACACATTTTATTTTGTGAACCAGGAAAGACACGGGCTAATATATAGTGGAAACAAGTTTTACAACATAACAGTTCCCCTTACCACACGTGAAGGCCTGGTTTCTCTATTCTGTTCTTGCCCCATTCCTTCCTGTTACAAAAAAAAAAAAAAAAAGTGACAGAGTCCACTGATTTCACAGTCCATTAATGAGTGAGGCCAGCATTTCAGAAACAACTGCACAGTGACCTGCAGGAGGGATGGGTTTCAGACCCTCCACCTCAGGTACCCAGTGGTGAAGGAAGGGGTATCCCCCCCACTCCCACACACCTGGGAACACAGGTCACAGAGAAGTGGGATATAAATCCCTCTCTCCTGGAATCTCACCGAAAAAGCTCAAAGGAGAGGTCTTTGCTTCTATAGCTCTATTACACTTAAGATATCAGTAAGGTTTTTAACCATGACCCTCCATAGGGAAGAAGCCTCATCTGACTGCCCCACGGACGAACTCCCATGAGCAGATAGACTGCGTGCAGCAACAGCTCCAGCACCCCCTACGAAGGGCCGCCAAGCCAAAGAGTGGCTGGGGCACAAGGCTGGCATGTCCCCCTGTGAGAACCCTGCTGGCTCCAAGTGTTCCTCAGTCCACCAGGTTGCAAAGAGTTCTTGAGGAGGGAGGATGGGGAGATGGTTCTGGGACAAAAGAAGTCAAGGATATGCTGGGTGGGACAACTTGGGGCCTCTGATGTGATACGTGCTGTGGTGACTCCACAGAGTCCTTTTTGCGAGTAATCACCAAATACCTGCCATGTACAGTTTGGGGACTGCCGCCCCAAGCGGCCACTATCTACTTGTCCCTCCACTTGGCAGGGACACAAAGCAGACGAAAGACTTCTCTGCTGTCCCAGTTGAAGGCAGGACCAGGGTGTCAGGACCCTTCACGGGGACCTGAAGGCATCACTGTATTTGGTCGGTCAGTGTAAAAGTGACAGACCTTTGTCAGCACGCTGAGTGGACTTTTTATGGATTCACCGTCTGTAGTTTACAACAGAGACTCTGTGCCCTGCCCGCCACGAGGGGGCGCCATTCATACAGACGGTGGAGTCCATGAGGCCCTTTGGGGGGTGGGCAGCAGCCCTCTGAAAACAGGTCTGTGTTTTGTTTTGTTTTTTAAGATTTTATTTATTTATTCATGAGAGACAGAGGGAGAGAGAAGCAGAGGGAGAAGCAGGCTCCCAAGGAGCAGGGAGCCCGATGCGGGACTCGATGCCAGGACCCTGGGATCATGACCTGAGCCCAAGGCAGACGCTTAACCATCTGAGCCACTCAGGCACCCCAGGTCTGTGTTTTAAACTGTAAAACACAAAACAGTGACAGAGTTGTTGGTCAGAATGTCGGACACATTCTCTTTCAGCCTTGATTACATCCATTGACTCCTGTGTTTTGTAGTAACAGCAGCGTCTCAGGGCGGGAATGGGTAAGAATCTAGACTGGCGCTCAGACTCACACCCACCCTGGGACATCGAAGACTCGATTCCGTCACCAGTAAAACAGGAATGATGATAATACATATCCCACCAAGCTGAGGCAAATAAGGCACAATAACGATCTTTATAAATGTCATTAGCAGTCACTTTGTAGGGAAGCCAAGCCCTGCAGTTGCTCCCTGCCCTCAGGCTTCAGTGCCCGGGGCGCTGCCTCAAAGCCATGGCACTGGGCAAGCCAGGGGGCAGTCTCAGGGACAAGTGGGCTGCAACACACTTGCTGATAAACAGCAGTTCTGAAAGACGGTATTGTCCCTCAACTCTATGATTTGTTCTCAGCCAGGAGTGAGGTGGGACCCCTGAACATTGGCCTTTACCCACAATTCCTTTCACTTGCTTCTAAAAAATTCTGCTACCTTATTAGGCATTAAATAATTTCTTGAATAAAAGCTCTAATTATCCTGGGCTCCTTGTATATGCACCATTACATGTATATCCAGAACATGAAAATACAAATACACCCCTGATCTCAGAGGTGACAATTCTCATGGCAGCATCTCTCTCTGACTCATTAACCAGAAAATGAGCAATCATATTTCCAAAGTCTAGGAGAACGAAAACTTAGAAAACCTCCCCAGAGCACATTTTGTGTTGTGGGATTTCCCGAGGCTGAAATCAACGTCCTTGAGGGCTATGCGGGAGGTGGTTAAATTGCGTACCTTGGTTTAAAAAAAAAAAAAAAATCATGCTGACCAAGTTGTCGATCAATTTGCAAAATGCCGACCACTCTTCCCAATTCTTCCTAATGGCATCAGTTCCCCACTTGCAGTCCTTCTTTCCCTACAGACCTGTTTTCCCTGAAGTCCCCGCGTTGGGGGAGGAAGCCACTTGCTTGGCCATGCTGGTCGATGACGTCTGTACTTTGGTGCTCGGCTCCGTGTAGCCAGCAGTATCTCCTCCTGTGTCCCCCTCCATGTCCCTGCTTCTGCAGAAACTTCTCTGTCTGGACTGTCTGGCCAGCAGCAGTTTCCAGGCCGCTGCTCTGTACTTCTTTGAAATGAGGTTGTAGAGGATCGGGTTGATGGATGCACTCAGATAGAAAAGTTGCAAAGCAACAATGTTAAAGTACTGAGAGAAGTTCATCATCCGAGAATCTTCCGTATTTATGTAAATGATCCTGCCCACGTGAAAAGGCAACCAGCAAACTACAAATGCCAGAACCACCACCACTGCAAAACAAGACACAGGCACCGGAGTTAGCTAAAGCATCCGAAAACAAGCCCCGCCCCCCCCGAAACCGTCCGAAATAATAAGTAACAGCAAACAAATTGAATAAAACTTTTACCCAGCCAAATCCCACCTCAGGACAACTACCAGGCTGCAAAGAGCATCGACATTTGCTTTAAAACTGCATATATGCGTTATCACGGCTGGACATAAACCAGAAGGAGAAATTTCTACTAACAAGCTGTTCTGGCAGGCTTCTTTCCACAAACCTATTTCAGAGACATGTTCTCTGTATTGCATTGAAAAGAATTCTGCAACAGGTCTGCACAATTTTTTGTTTTGATATGGGCATGGTTCACTTTAGCCTGCAGGATAACTTAAGTTTTGTTAAAAAAAATTTAGCTTAATGAGCTCTACCCCATGTTCTCAAAGGTACTATGAGTAATTCACATCTGTGGCATCTAACAGAGACAGGCGGTTGTTTTCCCCATCCTGGATCAGCCCGGCTCACGGATCCAACGGCTTAGCGGTCCCAGGCATCCCACCAAATACCACACTCCTCGGGGGCGCCCTGGGGTTACCCAGAACTATCAGAGGACTGGGGATGGTTTTCTCTGGAGACGGGCAGGACCGGCAGGTGGAGGCTGGAGCAAAATGACATAAGGAATTGTAGCTAGAAGAGGCGTTGGGAGACGAGGGGAAGGGGACGCTGCCTCGACCGCGGGCTGGCGTGTTTGGAACAGAGGTGGCGCCACTTACGCAGGACGCGGACCGTCTGCCGGTGGCCCTTCTCGCGCCCGGAGGCGGCTGGGCCTCGCAGCGGGCCCCGGCTCCTCCACAGCTCCCGCCCGATGAGCCCGTAGAGGACGCTGAGGCACAGAAAGGGCAGGAAGAAGTAGGCGGTGGTGACCCACAGCATGACGCGCAGCGCGCCCATCTGAGACGGGCTCGGCCGGCACTCGCGACTGAACAGCGCCGCGGCGGCCGCGACCTCCGCGGCCTCGGGCCCCGACGGCGGGGACAGCGGTGGCGCCAGCGAGGCCCCGAGGGGCGACGGCGGTGGCCAGGTGCGGGGCGAGGGGATGAGCGGCGCGCTGCCGTTAAGGTCCGGGACGGCGTCGATGCCGGGGTCCTGCTCGACGCCCACCAGAAAGAAGAAGGGCCCTGCGGAGAGCAGCGCCACTGTCCAGAGCGCCGCGATGAGTGCGCGGACGCGGCGCCGGGTGACTAGGACGCGGGCGCGGAGCGGGCGGCAGATGGCGAGGTAGCGCTCGACGCTGAGCGCCGTCATGTGCAGCAGCGTGGCGTAGGTGCAGCCTTCGCCCACGTAGAGCGAGAGGCGGCAGAGCAGCTGCCCGAACACCCAGGGCCGCGAGCGCCAGAGGCGGTACAGGTCGAAGGGGAGCCCGAGCAGGATGAGCAGGTCGGACACGGCCATGCTGCCCAGGTACAGGTTGGTGGTGGTCCGCATGTCCCGGTAGCGCCCGATCAGCAGCACCGTCACCACGTTGCCGCTCACCCCGACGGCGAACAGACCGAGGCACACGGCGGTCACCGGCACCAGCGCCCCCAGGGGAAAGGGCGAGCAGAGGCGCTCGTCACAGGGCAGCGGTGCGCCCTCCGCGCCGTCGCTGCGGTTCCAGGGGCTGTCCATGGACGCGCCGCGCCGGGCGGACGCGAGGACACACGCTCGGCGCCCGTCGGCGCCGCCGCACCCCCGGCTGGCCCCGGGGACCGAGCGCAGGGCCCGGCTGGCGAGGCGCTTCCTCCGGCAGCCCGCGCGCAGCGGCTCAGCGGCCCCCGTCCGCACCGCCGGAGCTCTGCGGCGCCGCGCGCGGGGACGCGAGTCTGCAGGGTCCGCTTTGAGGCCCTCCCAAGCGGGCGACGCGCAGTCTCCGCCCCCGGCCGCCGCCCGCCCCACTCCCGCCCCACTCCCGCACCCTCTCCTCCGCCCGTCGCGTGCCAGGGAGCTTCCCTCCCCGCGAACTGGAACACGGGAGGCGGCCGCGGCGCACGAGTCCGATCCCGTCCAGGGAAGCGGTTGCTGAACCCCGGTGAGGTGGGTTGCTGACCCCATAGGAGCGCGGGCGCTCTGGCCGCTCGAGTACAGAGGGGGACCTTCTCGGGGACCTCGGCTGGTGGCTGTGTCCAGGCGCTTAGGAAAGGCTGCCTCCGTACTAACGGGAGAGGAGTTTAGACCGGAATCTAGAGTGCCTCCCGGGTCCAGTTACGACTCTGCAACCGAGTGATCTTAGACCAGTCTCAGCCTCACCCAGCCCAGGTCTCCTCTTCTGTAAGTTTTCAAGTAGGAGTGGAGGGACTTGAGCAAATAATTTCATCCATCCCTTAAAACCCTGAAATCGGTGGGCATGACCATGTCTACTGGTTTTAAAGAACAAGGGTGAAGTATTCACGTGTGTATTTGCGGGCTTACGTGTGTTGTATTGTTCCTATGTACACAATATTTTATGAACAAAAAAGCAGAGTATTTGCCACCACTAGGAAGAACTAAAATTCTGGGGAAAAGACAAACTGATTTATGAGTCAGTTCATTACGGTCTTAATGACAATAGCTGACCCTTACTGAGTGCTTAGGGTGTGGCCCTTTGCTTTCCATTTAATACTCATGTCCTTGGGAGCTCATTTCACCCCTGAGCAAAGTGGGACTCGCTTGTGATTTTATCTCCTGATAAAATACACACCACACACACAGGAGTCTTGCAATGCCTCAGTGTCCCTGTGGATGAGCTGGTCCTCCAGAGCATCTCAGGCATCGACTCCTGCGGGCGTCCGTCACACCGTATCATTGCCAGGACCTGCCAGCCCTCCTGCATCTCAGCCTCAGTCATCCCCTTTCTGACCTCCACGCCTGGCTTTCTAGCTCACTTTCTCTAATACCTCAACTCCTGCAATCCTCCACCCACCCTGGGACCTCAGATAGGTTGGTCCTCCTACCTTTTCCTTGTCCCTCACCTGCCTCAAGTCCTCAATTCCCTACTTGACGCAATTTAAACTCCCAATAAGCAATCCTAATCACTCCCAGGCAAACACCCTCAATCCTGTGCTCTTTTCTCTGTTGTCATACCGGTCCCCTTGACAAGAACATAACCACACCCCTGGTTAAGTCGAATCTTCTGCCTACTCGTGCACCCTCCCAAATAGCTGCTGAGTTGTTTCACTTGAAATTCACCACCTCTGGCCTGGCTCTTCATTTTTCCTTGGCTATCCTCATACTTACCTATTCCATCCACTCTCCCACCCACCAGACCACTCTTTTGTGCATCTTCCTCTCTCCCACCCGCCTCCTCTCTTTCCCCCACCCCCCAGGTGCAGGTGAATGAGTAGGTGGGACTTGTACCTGAAGTCTACTCTGCCCCTTCTTCCTTCACCTCCTCAAGGACCTCACTCTAGCAATTCTCTTTTGCATCTTCAGAGTTTCTTCCTCTTCTGGATCATTTCCATGTATCCAGAAAAACTCCTCAAAAGAGTGTGTATATTCAGCATCTCCACTTTTTCTCTCTCCCTCCCTCTACCCCCAAACAAAGAAAATGCAATTTTGTCATCTATTGTTGATCTGATTTTCCCTTGAGCGTTCACTGGCTGGGGAGCAAGAGAAAATTAGCCTGAATAAAGCCTAGTTCAGTTGGAAGAATGGAACCGTCCCTCTGGGCGGTGTTCCGTTCTGGAGAGCATGCTTATGTCACCACCTCCTCTTCCTTCCCCGCCTTTCCCTAGGGGAGCCCAGGTGTTTGGGAGGGGAGGTCAGGGAGCTTAAAGGTCCTTATGAAATAAAACGGAGGGGATCACCTAGCTTCGTATGGGTTCTTGGGGTGCCCAGGGTTGGCATTTGCCACATTCCAGTTGGGTGCCCCCTTCTTGCCTGGCCACCAGGTGCTCTGCTAACCCCAGAGGAGAGGTCTGTGGTTAGTGAATTTGTGGTCCCTTTTTTTTTGACTCAAGGGATGCTCACTGGAGTACCTGACACCTTGCCCTTGGCTCTCGCGGCTGCAGTCCCTGAGGTTCTTCCATTTTCTCCATTCTGCCCCAGAGCTTGGTCTACCCAACCTCTGCTGAAGGCTCCGTGCTCCTTTCCCCACCCACCATGGCGGCCCGCGCCATGCAGGCTCACAAGGGCCACTACACTGTCTCCTACTGTTCTGTGTACTCGTCCTCCATTCACACACTCCCCTTTTTTGTGGTATCCTCTCTACACTGCTTGTTACCACCTGCCCTACTATTTAGTTTACTTAACTCTTTGTTATCTGCCCTGCCCCTTCCCCTCCCGACACCCTGTTGTCCGGAAGGCTGGGCTGTGATCTGTTGTGTGCCATGCTCTTTCCCTAGTGTCTGGATCAGTGCCTGGTACAAAGTGAGAATTTAATAAATATTTGTTAACTCAGGGAATGGATAAGCTTCTGCAGAACCAGGTACCATTATTTTCTTTCCAATTCCCAGTGATTGAGAACAGTACTTTGATTATAGTGGGTGTTCAGCAAGTGTTTGTTGATATCCAGGTTCCAGATAGGATACTGATATGGAGAGATGGGTTCACCCCAGGCTTTTCTCCATCATGATGCTGCGACTCAAGCAGGACTTGGTCTGTCGGGCAGATCTGAATCCTTATTATAATGGCCTGGCGGTCTGTGTTTTAGGAAGAAATGGGATGAGCTATCTGGAGAATGACTAGATCTGCTTTCTACTTTGTATTTCTAAGGTTATGCACCAGCTTACTGACTTCATATTTCATCTGATGGGAGGAAGAGGAGGTCATCAGGTGTGTGGACACCTCTCCCCTCTCCCTTATGAGTGTGTCTGTGCCTGGTACTTGTGTGGGGTGAGAGCGAGGCCAGGTCTGGCCCTGCTATGGCTGTGTCCCTGGAAGCAAGAGATTGGTATCATCGGTAGGCCCTTGGCCCTTGGCTGGAGGCCTCATAGGTTGGCTTTTTGGCGGGCTGGGATGTCCTGACTAAAAAGAAAGCTAACGCTGGTAGTGTGCAAGGCGCTGTCCCAAGTATTTGCATATTTTAACTCATTTACTCTTCAATAACTGCATTATGAGGCGGGTCCTTTCAGTACACCCATTTTATTTTATTTTTATTTATTTTTTTTTAAAGATTTTATTTATTTATTCCTGGGACTCCAGAATCATGACCTGAGCCAAAGGCAGTCGCCTAACCAACTGAGCCACCCAGGCGCCCCATTTTATTTTATTTTTAAAAGATTTTATTTTTAGGTAATCTCTACATCCAACGTGGTGTACTTACAGCTCCGAGATCAAGAGTCTCATGCTCCACCAACTGAGCCCGCCAGGTGCCCCTCAGTATGTCCCTTTTACAGGGGAGGAAAACAGCACAGGGAAGCTATCTCTGTAAGCGGAGTTACTGTCTGTTTTCACGTCCAGGGGTCACAGCCACTGTGCCCTGAGGCCTCTTGCTGTACACATCACAGCACTACCAGCCTTAGGAGTGGTTGGCATGTTCTGGATTCTGCTAGGAAAGTGTCTTTTAGCTCATATTCCAGATATGAGCTGGACAAATGGGAGGATACAGAAAGTTTTAAGGAGCATTAGGATACATCCATAACTTGCAATTTACCTGTTGACATTTGTAGAAACTCCACAGGTTTAATACTCCCTTCTCCACAGAAGAGCAGGATGGGAGGCAGAGGTTGAAAGCTGAATGCACACAGCAATTGACCCACATTTCATAACGTTTTGCGCTAACGTTATATAGTTGGGAAATCTCCCATGACGTTCCAGCTTTTCAGCTTGTCTTGCCACATGGTAAGGTCTGGCAGCTCTGGCCCACATTCCCCAAAGGTGGTGGCAATCCAGGCTGAGCAGGGCCTGCTGTGTTTAGACAGACACCCACTCAGTGGGCACTCCACAGCCTTCATCCCTCACACGGTGGCTCTGTGGGCCCCACACCCAGCGCCTTCTTCACTTAAAGACCTGCTGGCTCCTATAGACTCCACGTCCCAGGAAATGGCACTTTATTTAATAAAATACAGAGATGGCAGAGCTCTGCCCTGGAAGGGGTACGAACCCCTGGCAGAAAAGGCCGAGGGCCGGCTCTGGCTGGCCCTCATCTCCAGAACCCGACCACTACCTTGACCCCGGGCCTCAGGCTTTCCCAGATTTCTCTCTGCACAGCAGGGACCTGGCAGGGCACATTCAGGCAAGACTCTGTGGGCTGCAGAGATTCCGGATATGCTGTGATTGTTGCCGAAGCAATTTTCTCTTGGTCCTAGTTTCTCCTAAGAGAGACAGGCTCCCCCTGGCAATGATTATCAAGGGTGGTGGTGGAGAGAGAACAAGTCCCTGGGAAGGGTGGCCAGGAAGAGGGTGTAGGACTTGGGGAAAACCCTCCTGGAGATTCCAGTACCCCTTTCCCAGCCCCAGTGGCTAGTCCCTGGTCCAGAAGGACCACCCCGGCTCCCATGCTCACCCCGGGCCCAGCTGGGCTCCCCCGGCCGTGCTCTCTCTGCCATGCTGTGGTCGGTGGCATCTGTACCATCAGTCACAGGAGCGCACTTAGTTAGAGAGCTAAGCCCCTCTGCTTGAAGTGTCGTACCGCCCTCGAAGCTAAGGAGATGCTGAGACGTAAGCCACACTTCTCTGGGCTCCTGTAATAGCAAAAATCTCAGCATGTTCAT